CTCTCTATTACATTTGTGAATGTACACCAATATCCTGTGTAGCTTTTTTATTATTTATTTTTATTTTTGGGTCACTGGAGATTATGATTGAAGTTTACTGTATGTGAAAACTTCTTACCTAAGTATGAGTTTGTGCATATTTCTATCTCATGCTGTGTCAATGGTAAATAAAAAGTAATACTGAAAACCAGAAGTTATTTGACAATACCATCATACCACAGACATCCACCACTTTCCCCTATTATATGCTTGTAAATTATATGAAACATGCACTCAAATATGCAAGGGAAACTTAACTCAGTAACACTGTAAGCTAGTGTGAAGTGTCTGGAATACTGCAGTGAAAGAATCAAGAGAATATCTTGTTGGGTACACGAGAAACTGCAAGTTAAAACACTCGTGAAAGTAGCTGGAAACTGCAGAGCTTAGGGAATGTTATGCCTGCATTTGATGATGTCACGATGTAGTGGAAGGGCCTTCCAAATATAGGAGGTAGTGGGTGAGCCCGATCTCATTGGATCTCAGAAGCTAAGCAGATTCACTGCACAGAAGCAGGCGAGGGGAAACCACCTCTGAACGTCTCTTGCCTTGAAAACCATATGGGATCATCATAAACCAGCTGTGACCTGACAGCACTTTCTACCACCAAAAGCAGATGAAAGAGTCCCAGCAACTTTCCCAAGGGGGCCTGGTCTCTGCCTCACATCTAGGGGAGTCTCATGGCCCCACACTTTTGTCAAGATCCCTCTTTTGCAACTGTGGCTACTGCGCGTTAGCCTTAATGGCTGCTGCATGAAGAGACATGTACCTCTGTGTAGCTGGAGACCAGACATCAGAGTGCCTGGGGAAACAAAAGAGAACAGCAAATGAGTAGCAAAATCCTCTCGCGTTCAATAAACTTGCCCACACAAATCAGTATGTAAGTGCTCCATGGGAGGTGCTGCCACCAGAGCTGCCAGGACCACTGCTGCTGTGCACCACCTGCATGCTCATCCCCCCCCCCCCAAAATGCTGAGCAACATGTTTAGCTCTGGGCACTTTGGGTCTGTTGGGAGAAGGGTAGGCAAGGAGTCTAGATGACAATGGGCCCCATTGAAAGGCCTGGGCCCCCGGCAGCTGCCCCGCCTCAGGGAATGCTGACGCCAGGTCTGATTCTGAGGACTGAAGGGCTTAATCTAGATATACTTTGTTGTGGCTAGAAAGTCAGGACTCACTCGCTCCACTGGTTGCATCATTAACATTAGGGGGATTGGGCCGGCCTAATCTTGGCAATCATCCCTCAAAGTCCAGTTTCAACCTCACCACTTGAATTCAGGTGCGATATGGGGCAGGGTCTTGGGGACCACGTCTGGGGATCTCAAGTGGATTTCAGAACCGTTAAAAGAGTTTGTCACTGACTAATGGGACAGTAGAACAGTATGGTAGAGAATGGCAAAGGAGGCTAGAGAGTGACTGGATGGAAGGGGGTCATAAGAACATAAAAAACATATAAGAAGCCATGTTGGATCAGGCCAATGGCTCCTCCAGTCCATTACTCTGTGTTACACAGTGGCCAAAACCCAGGTGCCATCAGGAGGTCCCCCAGCAGGCCCAGAACTCCAGAAGGCCTCCTGCTGTGTCTTCCCCCAAGGGCCAAGAGTACAGAGCCTCACTGCCCCCAGACAGAGGGCTCCATCTGTACCTTATGGCTAATAGTCACAGATGGGCTTCTGCTCCATATGTTTATCCAGTCCCCTCTTGAAGCTGTCTATGCTTTTAGCCACCACTGCTTCCTGCAGCAGTGATTTGGCCAAAATCAGAATGTTCTTGTATGGATTACTGAAGGGAAATGAGGGAGCCATTTTTGCTCATGTCATCCAGGAGTACTTTGTCACAACTAAGAAGGCCAATCAAAATGCTGAGCCTCCCTTTAATTCCCTTTGCATCTATTATTGCCAAAAGCTAATCAGTTGCTATAACCACCTCCTTCTCTCCTTCCAAGGATGTGAGAGCAGCAAAGATGGGGGTTGGATGATCCAGGCACTCATGACACCCAGACATGTTTTTCTTGAGAAACAGAAGTATTTCATACTCCCCCATCTAACCTAACCCTCTGGGCACAATTAAGACACACACAAGCAATGCTCTCTCTAAGCTGTGGAGTCTTGTGAGCAAAAAAAATCTACTTTGTGAGCAATGTTCCCTCTAAGCTGTGGATGGAGTCTTGTGAGCAAAAATTCTACGTTGTGAGCTGCTGGCATTAAAGTTGTGAGCGAGCGATTTGGCTACTGCATAAATCAGTTGGCTCTGGAGCCCTCCTTCCTGAGCTGAGGTAAAAATGTGTGAGCTGGAGGCTGAAAGTCTGTGAGCTAGCTCACACTAACTCAGCTTAGAGGGAACACTGTTTGTGAGCTAGTGGCATTAAAGTTGTGAGTGAGCAATTTGGCTACTCCATCAATTCGCTTGCTCTGGAGCCATCCTTCCTGAGCGGAGACAAAAATGTGTGAGCTGGAGGCTACAAAACTGTGTGCTAGCTCACACTAACTCAGCTTGGAGGGAGCACTTCACACAAGCCGTACCCCATTTATTCACAGTGGAAGACTTTAAAAGTAGAAAGTGTGAGTGTGTGTGTGTGTCTGAAAGGAATCATGATGGTATTTTCTCTCAGCGAGGATTTCCTGGAAGAGTCAAATTCGCCCTTCCCTTTCTTACTGGATGTCTACCCTCATCCTCACCTCTATGTAAGGTAGGGAAACTGGAGGTTAAAAAAATAAAATAAAAAAAAATCTCAGAAAATCTCACTCTGAATGAAAGCTACAGGAACAATATTAACCAAAATGGTTTCATAGTTAATCTTCTGAACCAGCACTCAAATCATATACGTGACCTGAAACCTGCTGCCCTGATAGAATGCCCCGTGTAGAATCCTTGCGTCTTCATTACCTCTGAACTGCTTTGCAACGCCTTTCAGTAAGACATTGAGGTCAAAGATGTCCCAGATTCTCCACTTCAGTGCAGGAGAAAAAGCCACTGGGTCCTCAGACTTCTTCTTCTCCTTCTTCTCCTCACACCTGGAGAGAAACAAGGTTAATCTGCCATCCGTCTGATCCCAAACTCTCAAGTGGCAAAAAAGACAAGGACCGAGAAAGAGGGTGCTGAACTGGGGACAGAAAGAGGGCACATCCAGGCAAGACAAGACAGGATCCTGAAGGGAAATGAGCATGATCCACTTACCTCTGCAAGGTGCTTCTGACATCCTGGAGGGAAAAGAGAGAAAGACGTGGGAAATTAGGGCCTGCCACAGACCACACACCTCAGACCTGCAGGGTGACACGCTCTGGCCATTTGGTTTATCCACCTCAGGGTTATCTACTGGTGGGGGAAATATCCATGAGGTAATAATGAGGCAGAGACAGTGCCACTGAAAAGCAGGGCAGGGAGGTCTACTTTAAAACTTAAGTTATGTTACACATTTATTGAGAATGTCCCAACCCCAACACTGTCCCTTGAAAATGAGCGGTGAATGATATTTCATACTGCCCTTTTTCCCCCTGGATGTCTGGAGAATCTTGGAAGTATGGCCCCTTCCAACTCTGTGACTCTATGAGATCAGTTCTAAATTACTAAAATCTGCAATAACTGAAGCTCATATTTATTTATTTATTCAATTTATATCCCACCCTCCCCGCAAAGATTACCGCAGGTTAGGGGAAAGTACCTTCAAAACTAAGGGTGCCAAAATGGCTGATGGGTTTCAATTCCAGGGAGGTAAGCGGAGGCAAAAAGATTCCTCGCTTAGTGTATAAACTGACAGAGCTTGAATGGTGCTGATAATGAAAATGGGGGGAGGCTTAAGCGCCTTCTCCCTACGTACCATGGTCCAAGCAATGTACAAGCAGTTTACCCGCATAAGGTTTCAAGGTACCAGAGGTCTTGTAGACACAGAGCACAAGTCCCATCAGGGTGGTATTCCACGTATCAAGGCATAGTAGGGTTGCTTCAGAGTATTGACCAGGCTTGGCCAAAATACCCGAGCAATCCTACACGGTCATTAAGAACCAAGTTACTTATAGGAAAAGGGCTATGAATGATCCAGGCCCGTTGACCATTCACAGTCCTGCAAAGTGATGTCACTCTTGCCAGTAACCAGGTGACCAACTATCCCATAATACTTGTTTGTGAGCTCTAGGGAAACGAAACCTAAAATTCTTAAAGATGGTCCCATCTCCCCCCCCCACACACAGGTGCTCTCACTTGGGAATGTGTTAATTAATTAATGGCCCCACAGGCTAGCACAACTAAGTACCAGCATCTGGGAGTCAAGGACATAACTCTCCTGCTTATCAGTATCTCCTTCTCTGTTTCCATGGTAACCCAGGCACCTCATTAGCTTCTCACAATTTACAATCTAACAAGCATTCCAAGGCCTAAGTAGGCCTTGAGCAGCCTTGACCAGACTTTGGTCAAGTAAGCTAGCAAGCAAACAGAAAAGGGTGTCTGATCTGCATTACAGTCCCAACCCCAACACTGTCCCTTGAAAATGAGCAGTGAATGATATTTCATACTGCCCTTTTCCACCTGGATGTCTGGAGAATCTTTGGAAGTATTCTCCCCCTTCTAACTCTGTGATTCTATGAGATCAGTTCTAAATTACTAAAATCTGCAATAACTGAAGCTCATATTTATTTATTTATTCAATTTATATCCCACCCTCCCCGCAAAGATTACCACAGGTTAGGGGAAAGTACCTTCAAAACTAAGGATGCCAAAATGGCTGATGGGTTTCAATTCCAGGGAGGTAAGCTGAAGCAAAAAGATTCCTCGCTTGGTGTATAAACTGACAGAGCTTGAATGGTGCTGATAATGAAAATGGGGGAAGGCTTAAGCGCCTTCTCCCTACGTACCATGGCCCCATGCTGATTTTTTTAACCGGAACCCACAAATCTGAGAACTGAGGGTCCGAAATTACTAGGAGCAGCGACCACGGACAGCGACATACAGAGGTCTGGACTCTTCTGGAGAGGAGTCTGTTCCGTTCCTGACACCCTTACCTGTAGGAGTTTCGTTGCTGGCTGCTGAATCTTCTCCTTCATCTCTCGAATGACATTTTCAAGAGAGGACAGTTCCCCAGAAAGTCTGGCCAGGTGCTCATCCCTTTCTCTCTCAATCTCTTTCTCCACCTCCTCCACCTGGGCCAGCAGATGTCTCTCTCGTTCCTCCAGGAACTGGCGTAGCTGTCTGCACTCAGCCAGGATCTCTTCCCTCTCTGTTCCTGTTTGCTCCTGCAGCACACAGATGAAGGGTGGGGGGAGAACTCATGTCAGGAATATGGAAAATCATGACAAATTCAGTGTAGGGATATTTTTGGCCTTTCCCCCAGAAGGATCGTATCTCCAGGAACTTCCCAACCTGCAGTTGGCAACCGTGGCCCAGGGCCCTTATATGAGCTGCAGAAGTAAACCTCAGAACTGTGTTTGGTTGTCACAACCTGAAATTTCCAAAACTCACAACACAGGAGGAGGGGAGCTAACTGGAAATGTAAATCAAGCATAGAAATGTTTTAAATAAAATGAATAAATAAAGGGATGTCTTAAGATACACGTTTTTAAAAAGGAGCGACCCAGAGGCCAACCTCCAAAGCAGCCATTTTCTTCAGAGGAACTGCTCTCTGTTGTCTGGTGATCAGCTGTCATTGCAGACCATGCCTGGAGGTTGGCAACCTTAGATGGGACAAATGATTCCGCCATCTCCCTGACCCCCACCTCTCCAGGTTTCCATTTCTCAGCAACAGAGACACTTACAAGCAGCTCCCGGCTTTCCTTTTCCACGTTTGCTTTCCATGCCAGGGTTCTTTCTCTCTTCTCCTTCAGAGATTCTAGGCAGATACATAATTTGTCCTGAAAACAAAGGGAAAATTCAGCTTTGATTCCTCTTCAGAGGTTTATTATTGTAAATCCCAAGAGTGGTAGTGAGAGCCATGCTGAATAATGTATTGGCTCAAGTAGATGGGAAAGGTTGGTGTCTGGATTCAACTCTCACTGAGGAAAAACTTTGGGGAAATCAGCACCACTGCCTCCAAACCCTGGTTCAGGCTGAACTGCTTCTGTATGAGGTATCATATGCCTTAGAGTGCTCCAACTAGCCCACTACACAAAGTAGCAGACAAAGCAGGGGTCCGTAGTGTGCAGTGTTCCCTCTAGGCTGAGTTAGTGTGAGCTAGCTCACAGGTTGTTTAGCCTCCGACTCACACATTTTGGTCTTAGCTCAGGAAGGAGGGCTCCAGAGCAAACTGATTTATGTAGTAGCCAAATCGCTCACTGTAATGCAGATCAGACACCATTTCCTGTTTGCTTGCTAAAGTTACTTGACCAAAGTTTGGTTAAGGCTTCTCAGGCCTGTATAGGCCATGAAATGCTTGTTAGACTGTGCTTGTGAGAAGCTAATGAGGTGACTACGTTTTTCTGGAGACAGAGCAGATACTGATAAGGAGGAGAATTATGTCCTTGACTCCCCAGCTGCCTGTACTTAGCTGTGCCGGCCTGTGGGGCTATTAATTAATTAACACCTGAGTCAGATTGAGGTGACGAGAGAGGAGGTCCTAAAACTGATAGACAACTTAAAAACTGATAAATCACCAGGCCCAGATGGCATACACCCGAGAGTTCTGAAAGAACTCAAATGTGAACTTGTGGATCTCCTGACAAAAATATGTCATCTTTCCTTAAAATCAGCCTCCATTCCTGAGGACTGGAAGGTAGCTAATGTCACTCCCATCTTTAAAAAGGGTTCCAGAGGAGAGCCGGGAAATTACAGGCCAGTCAGTCTGACGTCGATACCGGGTAAATTGGTGGAAACCATTATTAAGGAAAGAATTAGTAGGCACATAGATGAACAAAACCTATTGAGGCAGACTCAACATGGGTTCTGTAAGGGAAGATCTTGTCTCACTAACCTATTAGTGTTCTTTGAGGGGGTGAACAAACATGTGGACAAGGGGGATCCAATAGATATTATTTACCTTGACTTCCAGAAAGCCTTTGATAAAGTTCCTCATCAAAGGCTCCTAAGTAAGCTCAAAAATCATGGGATAAAAGGACAAGTCCTTTTATGGATCAAAAATTGTCTAATTAATAGAAAACAGAGAGTGAGTATAAATGGACAGTTCTCTCAGTGGAGGGGGGTAAGCAGTCGGGTACCGCAGGGATCAGTACTTGGTCCACTGCTTTTTAACTTGTTCATTAATGATTTGGAGTTGGGAGTAAGCAGTGAAGTGGCTAAATT